CCCTGCCCCTGGTTGGGGTGCTTGCAGGAGGCAACCAATGGATGTGTTTCCCTCACATGGATGTTGCCCTTTTTCTCTCTCCTCCCCCCTTCCTTCCACTCTCAGAAAAGCAGTGGAAAAAATATCCTCATGCCCTAACCAGTTTGGCTCAGTGGATAGAGCATCGGCCTGCAGACTGAAGGGTCCCAGGTTCGATTCTGGTCAAGGGCATGTACCTTGGTTGTGGCCACATCCCCAGTAGGGGGTGTGCAGTTGGCAGCTGATCAATGTTTCTAACTCTATCCCTCTCCCTTCCTCTCTATATAAAATCAATAAAATATATTTAAAAAATATATCCTCAGGTGAGGATTAAGCAATAGAAATAAATAGGTAAATAAAAATAAATGTGGGGGTGGGGTGGGGGCCTCCCCCAGACCATGGCATGGTGGCTGGGGAGATCCCCTGATATGGGCATCAGCAAGGAGATGCACCAGGTGCTGTCGCTTTCTAGGTGGTGGGTTAGAACGGACTTGTCATCTCTGAATCATTGAAACGACAAGTACAGTGGGGCCTTGACTTACGAGTGTCCCGACTAACGAGTTTTTTGAGATACCAGCGGTCTCTCGGCCGATTTTTTACATTGAGTTGACAGAGTAATTTGAGTTAACGAGCTCGGTCTCCGAACGAATTAAACTCGTAAGTCAAGGCCCCACTGTACTTCTCTCTTGCAATCAGTACAATGAACAGTTTCCACTTTGCACAGTAACGTACAGGTCCACCACTCTCCCTAGGAAACTGCTCCAGAATGACACTTGCCTGACAAGCAGGAGGGAGAGCACACGTACTGTCCCAGCCAGACCCCCCATGATTCTGGGGTTTGGCAACAAACCACGTTTCTTGCCAGTTTGCCTCCAGGTGCCAGGGGCAGCCACAGACTGCCACTGGCTGCCTCTCTCGCTTCCCTTCCCCAAGCAGCACAGGGGCCTTCCGGAGGTCAAAGCGTCCGTGTGCTCATTAGGATGAGGGTTAGGGTTGGGGGTGGGGTTTGGGTTAGGTTTTGGGGGGATAGGAAAGAGGGCGCTGCCTAGGGTGTTTAGAGGGTGGGTGGGGTAGGAGTTAGGGTTGGAAGAGGGTGGGCTTTTTAAAATATATTTTTATTTGTTTCAGAGAGGAAGGGAGAGGGAAAGATAGACAGAAACATCAATGATGAGAGAGAATCATTGATTGGCTGCCTCCTGCACGCCCCACACTGGGGATCGAGCCTGCCACCTGGGCATGTGCCCTGACTGGGAATTCGATCAACCACTGAGCCACGCTGGCCAGGCAGGTGGGCTACTTTTCATGCCTTGAGCACCTGCTGGAGCGAGAATAAAGACGGGCATCACTCCTGTGAGTGTGGAGGCAGGCGGACACTGCACATCCGCTTCCCTACATCCAGCGGCCCTGGGATGACTTATTTGAGGATCACAGATATTCAGACCAAACTGCAACTCTCAACAGAAGTTCAAGCTAATTCAGAGCCAAGATCACTTAGGCACAAAACCAACTAGCACCCTTTTCATAGTCTAATTGCATCAGTTCTCCCAATAAAATTTTGACTTTCCAATTGAGTCAGAGAAGTCTGTTTCTGGCTTGGTTTCCTCCCCTTGTGGAATTCTTTTGGGGGTGGTTTTGGAGTTGGCTCCGGGGCGTCCTCTCCCACTGCTCACAGTAGCACGCATCTTCCTGCAGGGAGTCCAGTCAATACCATGGGGATTAGGTCACACAGACCTCATGGGGATTATTACTACTACTAGAAGTCTGGTGCACAAAATTTGTGCACTGGTGGGGGAGGCAGGAATCCTTCAGCCCGGCCTGCGCCTTCTCGCAGTCTGGGAGCCCTCGGCAGATGTCTGCCTGCAGGGAGCGGGCATAAGCTGGTAGTTGGACATCCCTCTCGCAGTCTGGGACCCCTCGCTCCTTACCGCCTGCCTGCTCACTGCTCCTTACCACTTGGCTCACTGCTCCTTAGCACTGCCACGGAGACGGGAGAGGCTCCCGCCACTGCCGCTGAGCTGGCCAGCTGTGAGCCCAGCTTCCGGCTGAGCGGCATTCCCCCTGTGGGAGTGCACTGACCACTAGGGGGGCAGCTCCGGCATTGAGCATCTGCCCCCTGCTGGTCCATGCTCATCATAGCCATAGCGGTCACTTAGGCTCTTATTATATAGACTAGAGGCCCAATGCATGAAATTCATGCAAAAGTAGGCCTTCCCCCAGCTACCGGGACCAACTTCCCTCTGGTACCCGGGACCCGGGCTTCCCTGGCAGCCCCGGCTTCGTCCGGAAGGTTGCCTGGAAGGACTTTCAGGCTAATTAGCATATTATGCTTTTATTATTTGATGGCTTTAGGAGCCCTGGACTGAGGCTGGGAGCAGAGACTCCCTTTAGCATGTTTATCTGCAGCAGCTCCGAAGAGGACCCATAGTCACTGTTGGAATGTTTTATAGTGATCCCATCCGCTTATAGTGTGTCAGGGTCCCCAAACCACCTCAGGCTTGATGATTCACTAGGACTCACAGGACTCGGAAACAGCTACAGTTTGTTACCATGAAAGGATACAGATTCCAATCTGCAAAGGCCTCAGGCACACAAAGCTGTAGAATCGTTCAGAGGCTCAGTGGTAACTTGAAAACAGGCCTGTCTTGGGAATGTGTGGGTTTGAGCAACCCAGGACTGCAGAGTCATTTCCTGCCCACGTGTCCGCTGCCCTCTAGGAGGGCCCCGTGGGAAACATTTGGGCCATTTTCCTAAGTTTTGGTGCCCCTGGACACCTCGCACATTTTCACTTATGCTGAGAATTAGGACCTGGAAGTAGCAGAGGTATGGGCGGGGGCAGCAGTTGCAAAGGCATGTAGGCCTAGGAGGGTCCCAATGAGCCATCTGTTCTTAAGAGTATGGACCAGAGCCCTGGCCCATTTGGCTCAGTGGATAGAGTGTTGACCTGCAGACTGAAGGATCCCGGGTTCGATTCTGGTCAAGAGCACATGCCTGGGTTGTGGGCTTGGTCCCCAATAGGGGGTGTGCAGGAGGTGGCCGATGAATGATTCTCTCTCATCATTGATGTTTCTCTCTCTCTCCCTCTCCCTTCCTCTCTGAAATCAATAAAAATATATTTTAAAAAAAGACTATGGGCCCTGACCAGTTTTGCTCAGTGGATAGAGCGTCGGCCTGCAGACTGAGAGGTCCCGGGTTCGATTCCAGTCAAGGGCATGTACCTTGGTTGCAGCCACATCCCCAGTAGGAGGTGTGCAGGAGGCAGCTGATCGATGTTTCTCTCTCATCATTGATGTTTCTATCTCTCTCTCCCTCTTCCTTCCTCTCTGAAATCAAAAAAAATATATATTTTTAAAAAGAGTATGGACCAGCATGTCACCTGGTTACTGGTGGTCTTCACACTACACAGCCACCACCCAGGGTCCCGAGTTGCACAGGGTACCAGTTTTCCTGAGTGCCCTATAGAATGGGGGTCACTCCCGGTTGAGACACACAACCAACACAGAGTAAGAGACTTTCCCTGACCCCTTATGCTGATAAGGGGGCCCTAACCTTGTACTCTTACCCCAGAGTGACTCAGGTCATCTATAATAATAAAAGCATAATATGCTAATTGGGCTGGATGTCCTTCCAGACGACCTTCCGGATGAAGCTGCGGCTGTGAGGGAAGCCCAGGTCCCGGGTACCAGAGGGAAGCTGGGGAAAGGAAGGCCTAATCTTGAACGAATTTCGTGCATTGGGCCTCTAGTAAATACATAACAGGCTCAGGAGGGACCAGCAAGTAGAACACAGCTCAGCGCAACAGGCAAGCTCATCCAGGAAGTGGGGAACCAATTCACTCACCACAAGCTCATCCAGGAAGTGGGGAACCAATTTACTCCGTGACCAAGAGCAAGAGAAGAAAGACCTCAGGCCCGGCTGTTGTGGTCAGTGGTTGAGCATCGACCAGGCACATGCCCAGGTGTGGGCTCGATCCGAAGTAGAGGGCATACAGGAGGCAGCTGATCAATGATTCTCTCTCATCATTGATGTTTCTATCTCTCTCTCCCTCTCCCTTCCTCTTAGAAATCAATAAAAATGTATTAAAAAAAAAAAAGATCTCAGAAGTTGGCAGTCCCAGCCTGGTCCATGTCAAGTGTTCAGCAGTTATTCTGTGGTCACTCCATGAAAATGCGATGGACTCGCTTCCAATTAATAGGTCAGCTGTCGAGGCTGATGACATTTCACACAACAGGAATATTTGAAAGAAGCTTCTTTTAATTATTTTTATTTTTTAATATGTTTTATTGATTTTTTACAGAGAGGAAGTGAGAGGGATAGAGAGTTAGAAACATCAATGAGAGAGAAACATCCATCAGCTGCCTCCTGAACACCCCCTACTGAGGATGTGCCCACAACCAAGGTACATGCCCTTGACTGGAATCCAACCTGGGACCCTTCAGTCTGCAGGCCAACGCTCTATCCACTGAGCCAAACCAGTTAGGGCGAAAGAAGCTTCTTCTTCTTTTTTTAAAAAATATTTTTTTATTTATTTCAGAGAGGAATAGGGAGAGATAGAAACATCCATGATGAGAGAGAATCATGGATCAGCTGCCTCCTACAAGTCCCCCACTGGGGATTGAGCCCACAACTCAGGCATGTGCCCTTGACTGGAATTGAACCTGGGACCTTTCAGTTCTCAGGCCAACACTCTATCCACTGAGCCAAACTGGCTAGGGCAGTGGTCGGCAAACCGCGGCTCGCGAGCCACATGCAGCTCTTTGGCCCCTTGACTGTAGCTCTTCCACAAAATACTGACTTCTGCGCATGGGCCATGAAGTTTCAGTCGGTATTTTGTGGAAGAGCCACAGTCAAGGGGCCCAAGAGCCGCATGTGGCTCGGGAGCCGAGGTTTGCTGACCACGGGGCTAGGGCCGAAAGAAGCTTCTTAATCACGCAACGGACTCAGTGGAGAGCAGGGGGGCACAAGCGGCTCCTGCCAAGTGTGCGTCAGGCCGTCAGCCCAGCCTGGGGTGGGATTAGGGCAAGTTCTCGGTGGGGGCCGGGGTCCCCGGTCTGCAGTACCACGGGAGCCGTGGGCGTGCCTGTGGGGCAGAAGGAAAGGAGGACTTGACCATTGTTAGCAGTCAAACATCAAAAACAAAATCTGACAGTGCCCTCGGCGGTCCCGGCTCTGTCTCCTGCTTCAACAGTGTTTGGACGGAACAGACCCAGGGACACCCCTCCTACCAGCCTCTGACCACCCTCCAGCGTCTCATCCGGTCACCACCTTCAGAACCACCTTCGAGACCAGCCAACACATCGGGTTTTATCTACCTTAACTCCCATTGCCCAACAACCACGAGCTCCCAAATTTGTCAGAATTATCCCACCGAGGTGGAGGCTGCGGCCAACTGCCTGGCCAGCCTGCCTCTGCGGGCCCCGGACACCTACCTCTCTGGGGGCTGCTGTTTCCACCGCGACCATGTAGCTCTCGAGGGCGTGGGCCACTGCTTCCCAGAGATGGCGGAGAAGAGGCGCGAGGGCACAGAGCGTCTCTTGAATTTGCAAAACCAGCGAGGTGGCCGGGTTCTCTTCCAGGACGTGCTGAGGCCTTCCCAGGATGAGTGGCCAAAACTCAGGACGCCATGGCCTCGGAGAGGAACCTGAACCAGGCCCTTGTGGAGCCGCGGGCCCTGGTTCTGCCCGCACAACCCTCAGCTCTGTGACTTCCGGGAGAACCACTTCCTGGGTGAGCAGGTGAAGCTCATCAAGAAGATGGGCAACACCTGTCTCAGCTCGGCAGGTAGCCCCCAGGCTGGGCTGGGCGAGTGTCTCTTAGAAAGGCTCACCCCCAAGCACCACCAGGAGCCTGTGGAGCCCAGAGGCCTTTGAGGGGCCCCTCTGCATCCCCCTGGTGTCTGGCTTTTGCCTGAGCCTCACCCTGAAACTACTAGCGGTTCTTTTAACCGCCCTAAAGCCCACTCCCATGCATTGGACCGAATGGAAACAATACAGCTTTTTGCAGCAAACACACACACACAAAACAAAACCTGACCTTATTTCAATTCACCCCTGATTGTGACACTGTGATTTTTAATAAGAAGTATATATTTGGTCTTTGCTCTCTTTCTGGCAAAGAGCTCCTAAAACCCCTGAAATTTGCAATTTGCTAAGTGATAAGGTGGGAAGGAAACAATCTCTCTCTCTTTTTCTCTCTCCCCCTCCTTTTCATTCCCTTCCCCTCCCCCCTTGCTCTCTCTGAAATCCATAAACATATCCTTGGGTGAGGATTAAAAGAAAAAAAGAATTCTCATTTATTGCTGTTTGCAAAATTGTTCAGCCACTTTGGAAGACAATTTGACAGTTTCTTACAAAACTAAACATTCTTTCTTACTCTACAACCCAACAATCCTGCTCCTTGGTATTTACCCAAAGGAGCTGAAAACTCATGTCCATAAAAAAACCTGCCCGTGGATATTTATAGCAGCTTTATTCATAATTGCAAAAACTTGGAAGCTGCCCAGAGGCCTGTCAGTAGGTGAATGGATAAACTGTGGTACATCCAGACAATGCAGTAGTATTTATTTATTTTTATTATTATTTTTATACAAGACGACACATTTGTTTTCAGAAAAGACTGAGTACCTTGATTACTGTAAATCTTGATGCTGGGACCAGAAACATACTTTTCAACAGATAGCAAACCCAGGTATTTAAAAACTGAAACACCTTCCTTCATTTTTCCACAAAAGGAAGCTCTCTCTAGAGCTGGGCTAGTGGCTGCTTTGTTACAGCTGCCTTCCATTAAGAGATCATAAATTCTTTTTTTTTTTAAACTTTTGGGCCCTAGCCAGTTTGGCTCAGTGAATAGAACATTGGCCTGCACACTGAAGGGTCCCAGGTTTGATTCTGGTCAGGGGCACATGCCCCTGTTGCAGGCTTGATCCCCAGTGGGGGGCGTGCAGGAGGCAGCTGATCGATGATTCTCTCTCATCATTGATGTTTCTATCTCTCTCCCTCTCTCTTCCTCTCTCTGAAATCAACAAAAATATATTTAAAATAATAAAATGATGTGCCCCAGGTGTTATAACCAGGAGACCTTCCTTTCAAAAAGAAAAAACTTTTGGTGGAGGGAATACAAAGATTGTTGTGTTCTTCTTTTGGCTTTTTAGTGATTTCCAAATGCCCACTGATGTGTTATGTGGAGAGTCACAGCTGAAAGTTGTGTAGTGAAATGAGAGGTGGTTCCCCCCTGGAAAGTTCAGCAGCAGAGTGTTACAATTTCCCTCAGTAACACTTCCAGGTGAGAGGACCTGTTATCTTCAGACCAATTTTTTTTAAAATATATTTTATTGAATTTTTTACAGAGAGGAAGGGAGAGAGATAGAGAGTTAGAAACATCGATGAGAGAGAAACATCGACCAGCTGCCTCCTGCACATCTCCTACTGGGGATGTGCCCGCAACCCAGGTACATGCCCTTGACCGGAATCGAACCTGGGACCTTTCAGTCCGCAGGCCGACGCTCTATCCACTGAGCCAAACCGGTTTCTGCTTCAGACCAATTTTTAAATAAACCCGCAACTCCCCCAACCTTCACCAGGTGCTGTCTGGTGAAGGGTTATCGCAGTGAGAAGAATCTATGGTAGAAAGACATCGCTGCTCTCTCGCCAGAAACACGAATTGCGATAGAGCTGTGACCACCGCTACCCAGACCTGCAATCGTATTTAGCACTAAAAAGAAATGGGCTATCAAGCCAGAGACAGACATGGAGGAAACTTAAATGCATGAAGCAAAACTATGAAGAAAGTAAAAAGATCAGTGGTTGCCAGGGGTAGCGGTGAGGAAGGGATGAGTAGGTAAAGCACAGAGGGTTTTTAGGGCAGTTAAAATATAGGGTCAACATAGTATGATACTATAATGGTGGGCTTGTCATTATACATTTGTCCAAACCCATATAATGGACACCACCAAAAGTGAGCCTGCCCTGGTCAGTTTGGCTCAGTGGATAGAGCGTCGGCCTGTGGACTCAAGGGTCCTGGGTTCAATTCTGAGCAAGGGCACAGGCCCGGGTTATGGGCTCGATCCCAAGTAGGGGGCATGCAGGAGGCAGCTGATCAATGATTCTCTCTCATCATTGATGTTTCTATCTCTCTCTCCCTCTCCCTTCCTCTCTGAAACCAATAAAAACATATATATATATATTTTTTAAATATATTTTATTGATTTTTTACAGAGAGGAAGAGAGAGAGAGATAGAGAGTTAGAAACATTGATGAGAGAGAAACATCGACCAGCTGCCTCCTGCACATCTCCCACTGGGGATGTGCCCGCAACCCAGGCACATGCCCTTGACCGCAATCGAACCCGGGACCTTTCAGTCCGCAGGCCGACGCTCTATCCACTGAGCCAAACCGGTTTCGGCATTAAAAAAACATATATTTTTTAAAAAGTGAGCCCTAATGTTAACTCTGTACATTAGTGATAATGATGTGTCACCGTAGATTCATCAGTTGTAACAAATGTCTCACTCTGTAGGTAGAGATAGTGGGGGAGGCTATAGGAACCTCTACTTGTTGCTCAACTTTGCTGTGAATCTAAAACTGCTCTAAAGAAATAAATTATATTTAAAAAAAACACACAACAACAACTTTGACCTAAGTGTCTCACCTTGGGGGCTTCCTAAAGGGCCTGATGATGGGAATCACCGCGAAACGAACCAAAGTTCAGCGATTCTGCTAACGGTGACCCCTGCTCCCAGCCTCGTGTGGGCCTCTGGGCTCATTGACGTTGTAGCCTGTGGCTGAGTTTCCTCCCTTCCTGTGGCCGACCACATGCATTTGTGATGCTGGGACCAGAAGGGCCACAACACTCATTACTTGGCTGCCCACAGGTAGCACATTCCTGGGGAGATTCAGCGGTCACTTTTGCACAGAGCATGGAGAGGGGATGGGCTATGGTGAGGTACAGGGCTCTGTGCCTCAGTGAGATGCTTACATAGCAACTGGTCCACACGACACCGTGTCAGATGGGGGCCCCATCTGACAGCAGGAGAGCACAGCTGTCCTGTCACCCAGGCTTGTTTGGGCTCTTCACTGTGCTGCCACAGCCAACCGCTAGATGGCACCATCGTTCCATTTCCACCTGGTGGGCAACCGGTTCTACAGTGTTGGGAGGCAGTCCTATCGGCTGTTCTAAATAGACTCCGGGAGTCCAGCCCACAGAAGGCAGCACATGTATCAGGAATGTCCACTGTAAGGTCTCTTGACCTCTGCTTGCACCTCTCCTCTCAAAATGCATGTCAGACCATTAATAAAAAACCACTGGAGCCCTGGCTGGTTTGGCGCAGTGGATAGAGCATCACCTGCGGACCGAAGGCTCCCAGGTTCGATTATAGTCAAGGGCACATGCGAAGAAGGTTTCGGGCTCGACACCCAGTAGGGGGCGTGCAGGAGGCAGCCAATCAATGATTCTCTCTCATCATTGATGTTTCTATCTCTCTCTCCCCCTCCCTTCCTCTCTGAAATCAATAAAAATATATTTTTTTAAAAACCCACTGGAGGTAACCAAGATGTCCTTCAGTAGGTGAATGGATAGTAAACTGGTACATCAAGACAATGGAATAGGAATTATTTCTTTTTGCTAAAAAGAAATAAGCTATCGGAGAACCAAGATGGTGGCATAGGTAGATGATGGGAATCACCGTAAAACGAACCAAAGTTCAGCGATTCTGCTAAAGGTGACCCCTGCTCCCAGCTTAGGTGTGGGCTTCTAGGCTCATTGATATTGTAGCCTGTGCCTCCCACAACCACATCAAAATTACAACTAAAATACAGAACCATCATTCAGAACCGCCTGAAAACTGGCCAAATGGAAGTCCTACAACTAGAGAAGTAAAGAAGAAAGCACAGCGAGACTGATAGGAGGGGCAGAGGCGAGGAATAGGCTGGTCTGGCACCCGCGTGTGGTGTTTTTTGTTGTTTTTTCTAAAAATATTTTTATTGATTTCAGAGAGGAAGAGAGAGGGATAGAGAGACAGAAACATCAATGATGAGAGAGAATCATTGATCGGCTGCCTCCTGCATACCTCCCACTGGGGATCAA